TTAGATAGCGTTGATTTAAACTACTGATCAAAAATCCCAAGAATCTGAGTTTTCAATTTGTATCACTAATACCTTATATTTTTACCTAACTATAACTAGGCCTTAAAGTACCTTTTTGATTTATCTTCCACTTTTTCATTCTGTCTCTAAACTGCTTGTAGTGGTACTTTTCCCTCATGTGTTTCATTCGTTTCTCCCATTTTGCTCAGCTGCTTTGCTCTTTAATAGCTACAAATTTCTAATTCTACCCAGCCTTCCAGAGCCAGGTCTGGTTATTTTCCAGCGCCCAGTATTTATTAGCTTGGTTAGAAATAATCTTAAGCCCTTGCAGGCCTTCCTATTTTTCCTGCTGCACCACCTTGTCCCATACGGGACAATTAGGGAGCCATGTTTTATACTGCTTAACAATTCAAGAATCACACAACCTGGGTGCAAGTCCCACCAACCTTTTGACTAACTGTGGACTTCAGGCTTGTCTTTTAACCTTGCTTAGTTCCGAGTTCATCATTATAAAATGCAGATAATTAATAGTTTTGGTCTCCTAGAATTGTTGTAATAATCTAATCCATAGCAGAGAGTCAACAGGTCTGAGTTTCTTCTTCCTTCTTGACTAAAATAAAAATCCTTGTATATAAGAACATTTTGTCAGTGAGCCTAGCAGTACTTAGCACTCTGCTAAGTAGATGTGGCTTTCACCAACCACTAAGCAATAAATGATACTGACCCTGTTGTTTGCAGTTTGGCTAGTACTCTTTATTTTCAGAAGGTACAACTCATGTAATTTTCAGCAGTGATTGACAAAGTGTTAACAGTGCATTGGGCAGAATACTGGGTCCCCAAAAATTTCCATCCTCCAACCCTCAGAATAAATTACACAGCAAAGGAGACACTTAGGAATGAAGTAAGAATCCTGAAATGGGAAGACTGGCTTAGATGAAGTGGGCCCAATATTATCACAAGAAGTCTTAAAAGCAGAGAATCTTTCTTGGTTGTAGTCACGAAGAGACATAAAGATAGCAGAACGATTAGGGACATTTAACACTGCTGGCTTTAAAGATGGAGAGAGTTAAAATATGAGCCAATGATCACGGACAGCCTCGAGAAGTCAGAAAGAGAAGGAAACAGATTCTAGTTAAGTCTCCAGAAAGCAACACAGCCTGCTGATAACTTGATCTGTTGGACTTCTGAACTTGAGATGAATAAGCTAATAAATTTATGTTGATTTCCATCATTAAATGTGTAGTAATTTGTTAAAAGCAGAAAGGAAAAATAAAGAGTTTCATGAGCTGGATCATATACAAGTACTTCCTACATATTTAAGAAGTAAGGCAGGCTATTTTGTATGTAAGATATTAAAAATCACTCAGCGTAAAAAAAGTTCTAAAAACACAATGAAAAATTATCAGGCAATTTTTTAAAAAATCACTGTATTATACAGCCATTAAGCACTTATCAAAAGCAATGAAAATATGAACTATTGCGCTTTTCCATAACAAATACTTTTAGACTATTTAGTATGTGGGAGACAGTTATAAACATTTTATAAATTGTTATTTAGTTACCATGCTTGTTTCATGAGGAACAGATACAGGACTAGTAACCTTGCCCAACCAACAGTACACAGTTTGTAAGTGGCAGAGTCAGCATACACTTCAGGCATGCTGGCTCCAGACTTCACACTTCTTTTTTTCTTGGGGGAGTGGGGCCTTTGCACTGAGTTACATCCCCAGCCCTATTATTATGTTTTATTTTGAGCCATGGTCTCGTGGCTGCTTGAACTTGCAATCCGGCATCAGCCTCCCAGAGTGCTGTGATTATAGACACATGTGCCACCACATCTGGCTCTGTTTTCATTTTTAATTCTCAATTATATTTCTTTTAAAATCATAACCATGTTGTATATAATATGCATCACCAATAAATTGCTTTATACACTTTAGACTTAAGCAAACAAAATCTATGTATTCTGTATTATTTTTTCCCATTCAATCATTCAATAATCCTATCTACTGTGCCATTGGCACTGGGGCAAAGAAAAAGAATAAAATAATGAGCCTCCCTTTAAAGAGTTTATAGTGAGGACATATAGTGACAGAATGTAATAATTACACTATGACAAAATAATGAGTCCATTCCGGCAAAATCATCTCTATGACCCTATTCTCAATGAGCTTATGCTTTAGAAGTTATTAAAATTTTTAAAAAGTTATCAAAGAAGTACATGGCACCTCAGATGTTATGGGAACTGGTCCCAAAGGCATATGGAGAGGTACAATATTTGCAGGAACTGGCAGTGGGGGCACTAAATGGTCTGAAGAAGGTAGATGAAGTGGTTTTGTATTTTACAAAGATCATTCCAGAAAGCAGCCAAGGGAATGAATCTGTAGGGCAGTGAGGCAGGGGAACATCAACTTGCTAGTACAGGAATGAGTACAGTGGTAAGAAGGGTCTGAATTAAGGTAATGGTAGCAAAGATTAGAAGAGAGTTTAAGTGCTGGAACAGTATGAGAATTACAGCCAGGATATGCCATTGCCCACATGCTCATAAAGACTCAACATCAACAGAGGTGACAGCAAGGAATGATGATAATACAACAGTGAGGTGTATGCCTCACTGATGTCTCTGTAAACATCAGGCAGAGGAATCACAGGAGAGAGGATGTGGAATGCAGGAAAGGTTTTTTCTAAGGAGTCTGCACACTTTAGTGGTCTCGGGACCACCAAAATGTATCCCAATGCCTGTAACCTGTGAATGTTACCATACTTTTATAAGATAGTAGTCAAGTTGTAGACCTTCACATGGGGAGAAGCAACCTAATCATATGGATGTGTTTTAATTTTTATTAGTACATATTTGCAGCAAATAATGGCTATACTCCTCACGGAGAGTTGGTATATGTACAGGAAACATCTTCTATTTTTTCATACCCTTCCCCTCTCTCCATCTTACTTTTGCAAAATATGTATCTCCCTCCCTACTTGCTATTATCTTTTATTTTGCTCTTTAATTTATTTATAAGTTAGGTTTCTCATATAAATCAGGTTGGGAGGCTGAGGCAGGAGGATTACTGAGCTTGAGGCCTGCTGGGTTACATAATGAGTTCAAGGTCAGCATGAACTACACAGTGAGACCCTATCTCAAAACACAAAAACAAAGAAAGAAGAGAAATCATGTGGTATTTAAGCTTGTGTATTTAACTTACTTCACTATATTGTGGTCTCAAGGTGTATCAACTTTCCTACAAATGCCTCAAGTTTATCTTTCTTAACAGCAGGGTAGTCTCCATTACCTATGGGTACCGCATTTTCTTTATCCGTTCATCTATGGGTGGGCATATAGTTTGATTCCGTCTGTTAATAAATTTTCTTGGGGGGAATCAAACTTGGGACGTTACCCTTGCCAGGCAGGCGCTTGTGACACTGGGCTAGATCCCTGGCCCTGATAAATTTTCTTATAGGCTATAATTGGAAAAAATGACAATGAAGGAGGAAAGAGAGATAGAAGGATGAAAGGGTCTCAACAAATCATTACTAACGATAGAGGACATGGGCCCAAACTAAGGAATGGTGACCTCTGGAAGTTGGAAACAGCCATCAGCTGAGAGTGAGGAAAAAAATAGTTCAGTCCTACAACAGCAAGGGACTGAATTTAGCCAAAACCCTAAATGATCAAGAAACTAGATTCTTCCCTTGATCATCCAGAAGGCAAAGGTCTGTGGGCAAAATTTATTTTAGTTCACTTAGATTCATGTGAGATTTTCAAGCAATGGAGCTATAAGATGATGAACTGGCACTGTTCTGAGCTTCTTGAAAATTTGTTACAGCAGTAATAATAAAAGACTAATATATATTGATTGTTGATTTATGAACGATGTAATGTTAATATAAATTTACTTAAAAGTTATCAATTTTGAATTGTTAGACGCATAAATGTCTTTATATTTTTCATTATTATATTCCTCAAAATATATAACTCACTAAAAGGCTAAAAGAGGATATAAGATGCTATTGTAAATTTTTCTTTATAGTTAAATGAAAAATAATATTTTTTCTTCTTTCTCATAGTTAATAAAAGCCTATTGTGATTTTTGGTCGTATTTCTTAAGCCCTGAGTCAAGTGTTAATTACACTCCCTTAGTATGCCTGTAGGAATATATATATTCTAGGTTTAAAACAACTAATGTGTTTAAAACAACTAAATTTACAGAGGTGAACCATTTATAACAAAACAGTTTTTGTAATACGTATTTACTGTTTCTGAATCGACACTGATTAGATCCTAGAAAGCAAAGGCCATCTCTCCTTTCCTTGTGATTCGTATTTTTATCAACACAACCTAGTAATATTCCCGTCTCCAGAAGCTTTTTGTTAAATTAATGTAAATAAGTTACATTTATAAAACAAGTATAAAAATACTGGATGCAAAGCTTCCCTAGAACTTCAGTTTACTAGTTCATTACAAAATTAAAGTATATTATAGTATATTACATGTAAGTTAAACTCGAAACTTTAAAAATTTAATACCAACATGTTAAACGCTATACAAGTTTCACATTTAATTCAAATTTCTGGATAATTTGCTGTTTGTATTATTACCAGTATTGTGATGTTCATGTGACCCACACAAAGTTCCATGAACTAGAGCTGCTTTCTGAAAATATCCTGTTAGTCTTTATTTTTCAGGAGGGAAGGTCTTTTCTCACCTCATAAAAATGAAGTGAAGCACAGTGTATTTGTAGACTACAAGAACAGCAATATGGCTGCCTTCCTTGAGAACTTTTGATTGAAAGACCTGTTCCTCCTCAAAAGGAATTTCTTCGCTCTAGAACAGTACCCAATATGTGGATCACATACGTAATTTTAAACTTTTCAAAATATTTTCAATATATAATATAGAATTACTTAATTTTCCCCCTTCATAACGCATCCTGGAAACCCCGTGCCTGGTTGACACTACGAGCACGTCTCCACGCAGACTCAGCCAATGGCCGCATTCACAGCCGCAACCTGAGGAAACCTGCACTCCCGCCCTAAGTCACCCGCGGGCCCAGTCTCTCCGCAGCCGCTCCACCCCGGGCTCGCGCCCCGGGTTACTCGGTGGGAAGGACTTTCACCTTCGCCTTCCTCCTCGGGCCGCGTCCCCGGTGCGGAGCGCAGCGCCGCGTGCACGTGGGCGCGGTCCCCCCGGACCTCCCTCCCGTGAGCCGAGTCCGGGGGAGGCGGTGAGCGCAGCCCCCCGCCCGGACACTTCACCCGGTGAGTAACAGCTCCGCCCCGCGGGGCCGAAGGGGGCGACCCGCACGGCGGGACCCAGGGCTGGCCCCGCCCCTCCC